TGACGGGCTCCGAGCCGTGAGGGGCGGCCGTGCCCGGGACCCGCCGTACCCGCCCTGCCCCGCCGCCTCCCGCCGCCGCCTCCCGCCGCCGCCATCTCCGCGGCGGGGCCGCCCCCTGCCGGCCGCCTGCGGGACGGCCCCGCCACCGCCCCGGCCCCGCAGGGTCTCGGCTCCGCCAGCCCGCGGCCCCCTCACGCCCCGCTGTACTTACTGCCTTGTGAGGCTCCTTCCCCTGAGGCAGCTTCGGTGTCTGCAAAGAGAAAGAGCTGCGCTTAGATCCGCGGCCGCGCTGCCCCGGGCCCGAGCACTGCCTCGCTCGCTCCCTCGCTCTGCTCCGGCCGCGGCTCTGCCCCACATAGCGGCCCTGACGGCACCGAGCGGGCGCTGAGGGCTCACCGGGGCTGCGGGGCCCGACCCCGCCAACAAGGCCTCGGTGTTAAACCGCAGCTGCCCGCGGCCAGAGAATCACACACTGGTTTGGGCTAGAAGGGGACCTTGAAGACCATCTCGGTCCACCCCCTGCCATGGCAGTGACACCTTCCACTAGACCAGCTGCTCCAAGTCCTGTCCAACCTGGTCCTTCGGAGGAGCCTCGTAACCCCGGGCTCTGATTCCCCAGGCTGTCATTGGGACCTGGAGTCGACATGGGATGGCTGAAGGGACGTCCCTACCCTGGCCCTGCTCTGAAGGGCTTCAGGGAGCCCTGAAAGGGCTGTGGGGAGGTGTGGGGTGAGAGGGCTGCCTGCTCCCCTTGCCCATCCCTCCTGCCCCAGCCCAGCTCCTGCTGTACCCTGGCTGAGGGGCCCTGGATGGGGTGTGTAGGGCCTGGACAGACACATCCCAACAGCCTCACTGTCATTAAAGGAGTTCATGAGGATCAGCTTCCTAATTTCTACTGAAGGGTTATTGAAATCCCTCATGTGCAATTAGTCACAGGCTGGCTTGGGTTGGAAAGGACCCTAGAGATGATTTCATTCCACCCCCTGCCATGGGCAGGGACACTTTCCAGTAGACCAGGTTGCTCCAAGCCCTGTCCAACCTGGCCTTAGACACTTCCAGGGATGGGGCAGCCACAGCTTCTCTGGGAAACTTGTGCTGGGGCCTCACCACCCTCAAAGGGAACAATTTCTTCCCAATATCCCATCTAGCCCTGCCCTCTGGCAGTGGGAAGCCATTCCCCCTTGTCCTGTCGCTCCATCCCCTGTCCCAAATCCCTCTCCAGCTCTCCTGGAGCCCCTTTAGGCCCTGGAAGGGGCTCTCAGGTCTCACTGGAGTCTTCTCTTCTCCAGGTGAACACTCCCAGCTCTCCCAGCCTGGCTCCAGAGCAGAGGGGCTCCAGCCATCAGAGCATCTCTGTGGCCTGCTCTGGACTTGTTTCAACAGGCAATTTCTGGGCAAGAGCTGCCAACAAGGAAAACCAGCAGTGAACAGTGCAGCCAGCTCAGCCTCCCCTCCCCAGCCATGGCAAAGCCACTACAGGATACAGGCCATGAGATTTCCCCCAGGGCGATTCTGTCCTGGTCTTACTGAAGACAGATGTGGAAAGAAGGGAGAAAAAGCTCCCTTTGCTGTGGCTGAGACTGCAAGAAGCACAGACCACAGATCATGTTCAAGCCCTAAATGAATGCAATGGGCAAAGCTATAAGCTGGAAAACAAAACCCAAAGTTACAAGTCAAGGATCATAAACTATTAGGATTTCAAAGCCATTTTGAAGTGTTTCATATTCATCCTAAATTGCATATACTGTATGTCACATTATCTAATAACATAACCACGTTGCAAAATATTCCATGTCTCTTGGAATCATGCTTGTGCTCCTCTGGAAACCACAGCTGCGGAATGGCACAGCATTTTTGAATTTAAAATTTGCAACCTTAAGTAATGAACACTGTTTGCATTTAATTTCCCTATTTCTTAAAATTAATAAAAACAAATGATTGTGGGTTTGTGAATTTGTACATTTCTACTTGATTAACCTGCCTGATTAGATCATTTTTCTAGGCAATGATATTAATTTGGCACAATTTCATAAACTGAGGGGCCAGATCAGAAATCCTCAGTATCAGATGCAGAACCTTGACAGCAAAGCCCTGGATTTTTTCACAGCTGCTACTTGTATGAATTCCCACCTATCACTCAAGGAAAAGCAGCTATGACACAATGGATTTCTGCAAAATGCTGTCCTGGCATTCACAAGCAACGGCATAAATACACCACAAAAAATATGCACTATTCAAATAGCTTTAAAAAGTACTTTAGTCAAATTTAACAAGAATCAGGCAACACACAAAGGTTTAAGGAGCAGCTGTTTCTGAACTGTGCTAAGAAATGTTGTTAGTCATAAGACAGAACAAAGTCTTCCTGAATTAAAAAATGCCAAACTAAAAATCCCCTAACAGCCTGCTCTGCATCACCTTTGGGCTGAGACCAAGTAATTACAGCTCTGAGACAAAAGACCAATTTCTGAGAAGTTGTAAAAGTCAGGAGTAGGGAGGTGGGCAGGGGAGCTGCAAAATAGGCAAGTTAACTCCTATGTCCCAAGAAAATTTCTCCATCTCATATGAATATCTGCTGCAGACTGGGAGATGTGCACAGGAAAAAATGGATCTTGGGATGCAGAGCAGAGGGCAAAGGACCTCCTCAAAATCCTCCGATTTTTCAGTAGTAGATAAGCAAACAAGTGAACCCCAACTGTCTACAGCTCAGGAACAACCTTTCTACTCAGGGATGGTTATTTCGCTATGAATTTTCTACTTCTCACCTCAAAATCCACTCAGTGACAGAACTGCTCTAACTCAGACTCCAAAAATGTGCGCCTTGGAAAAAAGCGTTTTTTCCATATTCACCATCTGAATGAGTCATCTTCCTTTTCATATTTTTTTGCATTGAGCAGAACCCATTCTTGGAAAACATTAATCTGAAACTTTCAAAGCTTTGAGAAGCTTTTTAACAACTGGTGAAACTAGAAGCTTGGCCTGAAGAACCCAGTCCCAGTGTGGTGTGTTCAGCGTCTGTTCTGGTGAGGGCAGCTCAGCTGTCGGCTGGCACAGCCATGCGGGGAGGACACTGGGAGCTGATGGGTTTGGAGGGGGGCAGTGCAACAATTAAATAATGTAAATAAATAATAATGGAAAACAACTTGAGCAAAATCATCATTCAGCCCAGAAAGGCTTATCTGGAAGCAGAGAACTTCCACCAATTCTTGGGCCAGAGGCGAGATATCCTGCGAGGGTTAAACTCGAGCCTTGCTATTTTCTTTCTTTGCTTTCTGAAGAATTCTCCTTTGGGTAAAAATCTCCCTTGCTTGGCCTCAGCCCAGAAGTTTATAAATTTACTGTTTGAAAGTCTAATAACGCAATTTCAGCCATTTTTTTTGAGTTATCTAAAAGTGAAATAATTTTCCTGACTCAAAACATGCGGATGTTTTGCTGCTCATGTTGCTCAAACACGACCCAACCGTACAAAGCAGAACTTTCTAGCTGACTAACTCCTGAAGGCAATCCAAACCTTTTAATGACTTGAAAAACCCCACACAGCTAAAATAAAAGCACTGTAAGCAAAACATTTTTAAGCCCTGGGTTGCGTGTAGGCGAAGCGGTAACATTTGGGACAGAGCCTTCCATCAGCACCAGGAATGTGCAGCCCCTCTGCTCCAGCTGAACTCCAGCAGCTCGGCAGGAGGAAGGAGCTGTGATCCTGCAGAGATCAGCTCACAAAGGAGCCTTTCAGCTCCACAACATAACTTTTGCTGTTAGTTTTCTTTATTTTATTGGTGTGTTTTGGGGAGGCAAAAGGGGAAGGAACACAACCTTTTCCTTTCTTCCTTGATAAAATGTAGTGAGGAAATGTCTTACCTACGTTTCTGGCCCTGTGCAGAGCCCTGACATGGGGATTTCTGTGCCTGCATCTCAGCTTTCAGAGGAAAGCAGAACAGGAACTAAACCATCCTAATGTCCCAAAGTTTGCACTTGCAAACTGCCAGGAGATCAACTGCTGCCTGAAATTCTCCAGCCAATGGTGAGCATCACAGGGAAAACTAAGAAAATGCCCAGTTTTCCAATATAAACTTCCTTGTTCCTGAAGGCAGACAAAGAAGAAATCAGCCTAAAGAACACAGGTGACCTCCAACCAGCCTGTCTGCCACGGAGAGCTACAGAAGAGGCAGGAGCAGTTATAAAAAAAAAATAGAAAATTCCTCAAAAAAACGCTCATTACAAAAAAAACCATGATGTTGCCAGTGCAAGACTCTTCATGTGGAACCAAACAGCTAAAAGGATGAGAAGACACATAAGTTCTGCACAGGGTGGACAAGGACAGTTAAACTGCACGAGCAGAGGGCAACAGACCTTCCCCCCATGCTGGCCATGAGCTGTGAGCCCCAGGCTGCCCTGCCACAGCTCCACACTGGGCACTGCACTCAAAAACCAGCTCAGTTCAAAGCAAGAGCAACTGGAGACCACCAAACAGCAGGGATTTCTGCTGGAATGCCCAAAAAGCCCTGGAAGGAAGCACCTAAAGAGAAGAAAGAGGAGCCTACGTTTGCTCTCCCTCTCTGCTGCTGAGCTGGTGAGTTTCCCAGGATCAGTCCAACCTTCGGGAAAGGCAGATATTCGGGGACTAATGGGTGGCTCAGACCTCAGGGAAGCCACGGATGACACTCAGAAAATCCATCCTGCAAAGAGGGAATGCCAGGTCCTGCCAGTGCAGCACAACTCCTCCCTTGCCCAGGAAAAAGAAACGACTGCAGGATTCAGGATTGGAGCTTCTGGCAGCTGATTAACTGCACTTAATGGGCCAAGGGAGCTCACATTCCAGTGCTTCGAGGAAAGCAGCCCTGGGAGAGCTGGACTGCCAGTGCTTTATCCAAGACTGTGAAAACCTGCAGCGTGCAGAGTGACACCCCCAGTGCAGTGTCACCACCATGTTATCCCACCTGTGTCACAATGGGGCAGCACTGGCCTCTGCTCCTCCATGAAATGGGGCAATAAAAGCATCTTTCACAAAAATTCCCATCACTCCTGCAGTCCTATGCTATTCCAGCACTCTTCCTGGTACAGTCCGTGTACAGGTCTCACTGGGTAATATCACAAAGGGCTTTCCTCCAGAGAACTCTTCCTTCTTTTTCCTGCCCTTCCTTTACATGCCCTTTCTGTGGCACGGTATTCCTCTGCAGACAGGTCACACACTGTCCCACCACTTTACTTGCAGCTCAGGATCTGTTCCTGGGAAAATCCCACTCCCAGAGCTGCAGCATGTTTGCAGTTTGAGTTCTTGCTGCAGAGTGTATATGAATAAATACCTCACTTGGATTTTTATTGTCTTAAGACAATGCAAATGCACTTTAAATGTTACACTACATGCATCCATTTACACCAACATAAAACATTTTCTAAGTATTATAAGTATATATAAATTCTGTTTCTCCACCATTGATGTGAAAATTACTAATAGATTTCCACTTTCAAAATTTTGAAAATTTCCCTCTTCTACAGCTACATATGACAAAGGCTTTGGGAGCAAAAGTAAAGTCATGTCTCCACTGAGTTCATGTCAAAACCATGGATATCAATTGTACAGGTTGATGCCTCCAGATAATTTAATATATAGCTTAATTTCATTATCAAATATAAATAAATACAAATCAGTTGGATCACACACTAGGAGGTGATCTCATACTAACAGAGCTCCTAAAATTCCACCCAAATTAAAGATCCCATAGTGCGTGGGGAAGAGAAGTAAAATAAAAGCCATCCTTGTCCCAGATTTAAATACTGCAATTATTACTGCAAAATTATTGCAATGCTGTGATGTAATGCTAAAGCATATCCCTATTATTTTAGGGATTTTTTTTTTCCTTAATCTGCAGAGTGAAGCTACTTAGTTGTTACATTTAAAGGACTTTCAGGAATTTTGTTGGTATTTAGAAAAGAAATACCAGCACTGGAAAACAATTCAGTGTGTATCTAAGGGTACTGAGGCAGCTCTGTGATATTAAACAGCACACAAGGAACATACAGTTAAGGGATGTGTGAGAGATCATGACAAACTGAGCAATTAAGGACACACGTTCCCTTCTCAGCTGGGCATGTGCTGACTTCTGAGAGTTTATGCATTTAAAATCTAGTATTGCATTAGCCTTGATTATCCCTGGATTTTCAAACTTTTCACTGGGAATTCTCTTTATGCTCCTTTAGACATTCCAGCAGTACTAACACTGCTGGTTAAAACAGAGGAGCTAAAGCAAATGCTCCTGCCAGGCTGACACACAGACTTCAGTGCTCACCTCAGGGGACAGAAAATAAACCCACTGGAAAGCTCAGGAGCTGCTTTTCAGTCCCTGTTGTTCTGGTATTTCAGATATGCAATTCTCCAAATCCTGCAAACTTGTACAAACCACCACAAACTTTCACATTTCTGCAATTAAGCGACGTCAGATTGTCCAGTCTTACAGAAAATTCAAATAAAGCCATTCCTGACTAAGCACGAGACATTTCAGCCACACAGTGCACTGGGGAAGTGACCTCAGCTGACAGAAGGGGCACGGGGGGAGCTCAAGGAGCATTTTGGTTTCAACATAAAAATACAGCAGCATAGCTGACTTTTATCCTCCCATCCTGACTTATCAGGGATGGCTGAAACACCCAGCAGGGCAGGAGCACGGAGCACCTCGGGGAGATGCCACCACACTCAGTGTGTGGAACCTGCCAGGATAACCTTCCTGATCTGCAGATCCCCCAGCACACAGCGATGTCCCCGAGAGCCCTGTGCAGGAAACACTGCACCAAACACAGCAGCTGCCCCTGACCTTGGAAGAAATGTCGCTGGAGTAGAGAGACACAAACCCCAAAGTTTATCCTCTCAATGGGCCACCCAAAGAAGCTTTACTGGTAACCAGGGAAGCAGCAGAGAAACCTTCAAGACCTTCCTGAAAATAGACATAAAATCACAGAATCTCCTGAGCTGGAAGGGACCCACCAGGACCATCCAGCCCAGCTCCTGGCCCTGCACAGACACCCCAACAATCCCACCTTGTCCCTCAGAGTGTTGTCCAAACCCTCCTGGAGCTCTGGCAGCCTTGGTGCTGAGCCCACTACCCTGGGGAGCCTGGGCAGTGCCAACCACCCTCTGGGGGAAGAACCTTTTCCAGAGATCCAACCTAAACCTCCCCTGACGCAGCTCCATAGTCCCTGAACCTGCGTGTTACCCCAGGATTCCCAGAGATCTGAGGAGCAGTGAGATACCTCTGTGTGCTCGCACGTGGGTCTGGAAACAGTTGTAATACTTGTATTTCTTCCCACATATTCCACACTCATAAGACCCTGAAAAACAAGAAAGAGAAGAAATACATCACCACATTAGATCAGGAAAAACAGCCTCCCCACACACTGATCCATACACTGTGGGCAAAAGAATGCAGTTTGCAGCAAAGTAATTCTTGGAAGGTTCATGGAGATAAATGCAGGAAATCACTATCCCAGACTATTTTTTTTCAGCCTTATTTAAGATTCCTTGGCATATTACCCTGAACTTACATTTTCAGAGTATCTTTTCAGCTTTGCTAACGTGAAAGTGCCACTCTCAAAATAGCCTGACTTATAATTTTATAATAATGACTAATGTTTCCTATGGACAGAAATAACCTTGAATTACTTTTCAGTAAGTTCCTACTAGCTGGGAAAAAAAGCTTTTCAACTGAAAAAAGAAGGCAATATGTTATCTTGAGGCAAGGAGTTTACAAAATTTCTCAAGAAATGCACAACTTACAAATTTCCCAAGAAACCCACAGAGATTTGGTAAATATCCACCCAGAGGAAACCAAATAGATACAAATAGAACTTTTGCCCTTTTTAAGGAAAAGCACATGACCACAGTAGTCTCTCTTCTCAGTTTGTGTCTCTAATTCCAGAAAACACACATCTGCAAACAGTCATTTGAAATGAACCCAGAGGAGCAGAGCTGGGAGAACCATTTGTAATGATGAAATTACGCCATGGATTTAGGCTCTTCTGTTTATTGAACAGGCAGACAGAAATTTCCTCAGATTTGTTATTTCAGTTGATTCAACCTCTTTTTTCCCCGCTCCACTTCAGTGGACAGGCTATCACCTCCCAAGCTCTCATTTGCACAATGCATTGCTTTTCTTAGCTGTCCCCCAGCAGCTACTGAACTGGGATCCCCTCAATGCTCTTCAGGAGGGCAAGAGCAGCACTTACTGAAGAGGAGGTGGGAGAAAAAAGGGCTGAATGTGGTTTGGTGTGAACGCAGTGTTTCACTTCCATGGATGCTTCCTCACACAACCTCGAAATAGTCTTTTCCTGACCATGCCAGACAGTCAAACTCAGGGATGAGCCATAAACAAGAACAAACATTCACACACATATCCAAATAAACATTCCCAACCAGCATCTCACAGCAGAACTTACCTGGTGCTACTCAAAGTGAGCTCTTGCCAGGAACAAAATCAACATGTTGTTTGAACATGTTATACCCACGGTCCCTTTTCCCCTTCCCATGTCCTATTCTACAGCTTGGGAAGAAAACAACCCTCCTTTCAGTCTGGAACAGCTCTGAATTCCCTGTCCTTCATTGCTGGCATCACTCAGGAATGTCTTGTGAGCTTGGGAGGTTGCTTTGTCCCTGATGCTGGAAGAGGCCATTTGCCACAGTTGGATACACCAGAGCACACATCTGAGAAAATACTCAGATCCACTGATAGCACAGGCAGTTCACTGTGTCTGATCTGCTCCAGAGCATTTTTATCATCATAGCTCACTGTGTTTTATATCCAGATACACATATATGGGACAGTCATCACCTGTGGTCACTCCACACAGCCTTTCCCACGTGAAATCCTGCTTATCAGCGAGTTGGCAGCACCTGCCAGCCCTCATTTTCCACGCTCAAGGACTGATTATTTTCATCACCAACCTCCAAAATACTTTCCTGAAAGCTATTCCAGCTGGAGCCCTGAAGCAGCACAGCCAGCAGATGAGTGCACTCACCCTCACTTGGCCCTACAACCAGGAGCCCTGGGCAAAGCTGAGGGTCAGCTGAACCAACAGAGGAACAGGAGTGATGCCCACTCACATCCCAACACAGAGCTGGCTGTACATGGAGCACTGGGAAAAGCTCAAACAAGTCCAGAGGAGGCCACTAAGTTGATCAGAGGTCTGGAGCCCCTCTGCTCTGGAGCCAGGCTGAGACAGCTGGGGGGGTTCACCTGGAGAAGAGAAGGCTCCAGGGAGACCTGAGAGTCCCTTCCAGGGCCTAAAGGGGCTCCAGGAGAGCTGGAGAGGGACTGGGGACAAGGGATGGAGGGACAGGATGAGGGGGAATGGCTTCCCACTGCCAGAGGGCAGGGATAGATGGGATATTGGGAAGAAATTGTTGGCTGTGAGGGTGGGGAGGCCCTGGCACAGGTTGCCCAGAGATGCTGTGGCTGCTCCATCCCTGGGAGTGTCCAAGGCCAGGTTGGACAGGGCTTGGAACAACCTGGGCTGGTGGAAGGTGTCCCTGCCCATGCTCAGGTCCCTTCCATCCCAAAGCATTCTACGGTTCTATGAGTCTATGAAAACAGGTCAAACAGAGTGAGGGGCTCTAGGTTGAATTTTTTTCTCTGTTTTTCTTATATTTCCCCCTTCCTATGGATATAGCCTACGGCACATAAATGTGTTTGGTCTTGCAGAAGTTCTCCACGAGTATCACCTGTACAGGTAACTGTGCAGTGCCTTCCCTCTCCAATGCAAACCCAAATGGTGCTACAGCCCTCGGGCAGGGGCTGTGCTGGAAAGCAAGGGCAGGAGAGGGACCACGTGTCCCTTGGCTTTTATGCAGATGCCCTGAAGCACCCAGGTCTCAAGTGCAACTCAGGGAAGGCTGGAGTCATCCTCAAGGGGGACATCTCCACCCCCTCCTACCTGTGGATGGTAGAGCAGTGCCCCAGGAGGACACTGAGTGTGTGGAGGGCCTGAGGGAGGTGTGTTACAGACCTGAAGTCCCACAGGCTCTGAGAGACAACTCAACAGCCACAACTGTGTGCTCAGCACACAGATTATCACAGTAGGGAAAGGAAGGGTGACTTACCACAAAAAAGATGTTATTAGAGTGGAGGAAGGATGAAGTGAAGGAAATAAGACACTGCTGTGTGTTAAGGCCTTGAAAAGAACACGCCCGTGTGGCCTCGGGCACCACCATGGCCGGGGTCTATCTCAGACTTTGTCCACATCAGGATGTGTCATGCAGGTTAAAGCTGGTTGTAGTAGGAGGGGAGATGGGGAAGCTTTTTGGTTAGTTGGTGCCAGGCTTTTCCTGAGCCTCACAGCTGGAATTTGGGCAACACACCCGTTGCATCCAGAGTTTTCCCTTGCTCCCTGATCCCTGGTTAGACTTTCACACCCTTCCATCACATACCGGCTGTGTATCTCAATGCATGGTCAAAAATCCACGTCCCTGAATATCGATTTCGTGTATATCCAACAGGAGAGCCACGTTCCACTGCTTTTCCATCTAAATTGTGCAAAAAGAAATCAGAAAAAAGCCCTTAAAGTGGATGCATTTTTAAAGAATAATGATGGCTGAAGCCTATTAAAAAATTCCAAGCCCCATCTGTCCCTGTGGCTCGCTAACAAGATGTCAGGGGTCACGCAGAATTTCTTAAGGCTTCTGCAGCACTATTTTACTTCACTAGGGAGATCGAAAGTGCTCCTGAATTCTGTATGCTGAACAGCTGAGCACTGAGAATCAGCACCAGGGCAGGAACCCAGCCCGGGCATGTGAGACTTGAGAGAGAGTCTCAAAGCAGGATTCTCTCTTCACTGTCTCAGAAACATTTCCGACTGAAAGCATTACTTGAAAAGTCCTCTCCAAAATGTTTCTTGTAAAGCACAGCCCAGAGTGAGAGTTTAAGCAGTCTTGTATGAAACTTCTCCTGATAACTCAGTCCTCCAAAACACACAGACTGACCTGATGGTATTCCCAGCATTAGGAAATGGTCCACATCTGACAAACACTCTCCTCCCTTTCTCCTGATTTACAGCACAAGTGCCTTTTGCTCTTCCCCTCCTCTCCAAACAGCTCCATGGTGGGACTTCTCTACCCTGACACTCCTGCCCTGAGAAATGTCCATGTGTTTGGGCTCTTCAAATGACCCTGGCTCGGGACCAGGGCGTGATGCTTGCAAGAGGAAAGAAGAACAGGAAATATGGCATCTCTGATCTGTGCAGGGCAGGAACACCTCTGAGACGGGGAGAGCCAGGGGGACCGTGGGGGTACAGGTGGGTGCAGGGGAGGAATGGGGGATCCACAGCAGCAGCATCTGCTGCAGACTGGGCCCAGGTTAGGACAACCTCTCTGATGGATTTCTCTGCTTGGGATGCCAAAGTGGGATCCCAAGGGATTGCAAGAACTGTGGAAAAGCAGCTGAAAGGGAAATGGTCCAAACCCACATAGAGCACTGGCTCTTCAGCTGGGGGACTGTGGCCACTGTCACCACCCATCCCCCTCCACTGCAGCCACTTGCAGCCACCGCAGGGTTTGGGCTGCCCCAGATGGATGGAAACAGAGTCTGGAGTAGTCCAAAGTGCCAGGAGAGACATGTGAATGTGTAAGCAAACAGGAGGCAGCAGACACAAGGCCTAATGTGATGAAAATACTGCAAGGGAATAGCAGCAACTGAGCTGGGAATCCCTGTTATAAATTGCTCCAAGTAACAACTAAAAATATAAATATAGCAGGCTCCTGAGGAGATGTGACTCAGAAAAGAGACATAAATCTTGCAATGTGTATTTCAGCCAACTCCGGAGGCTGAGCCCCCAGGAAAGCTGTCACTGCGAGCCATGTGTGCCCTGAGCCTCCAGCACCACGGGTCCAGCTCAGACAATGCATTCCCCCTTGAACCAACTGTCCCCAGCACCCCCTGAGAGGAGACAGTCTGAGGGGCAGCAATTCCACACAGAGGAGAGGGATTCATTCACACACAAATCACTACTTCATCAGGAATTACTATAAAAAATAACCACTTTCGACACCTCCAATCTTGGCTTCCCCAGTGAAGGCAAATAAAATCCTCCCAAAGCCCTGCCTGTCTGCACAGCAGAAATGATTCACACCCAGGGCTCCAGATCACACCATGAGAGAGGCTTCAGGGAGAAAAACTCCTGCAAGTGCAGCAATAGAGGGCACAAAGGCTTTACTTTAGAGTCAGGAGGCACCAGTGGCATCAGCAGTTCACACCTTTGGGTTGCTCCAGCACAGCAGCTGAAATGGCCCTTGGGGCAGAGGGGGCAGGATCCAGGGAGGGGCTTGTCCAGCTCTGCTCTGCCCGGGGGGGCCTCTCCTGCAATATTGGGGCAGTCTGGGGGGACACAATGGAAGGAAGATCTGAAGCCATTACCGAGTGTCCAAAGGAGGCAACGAGGACGGGGAAGGGCCTTGATTTGAAGGTGTGGGAGGACACTGAGGGCACTTGGGGTGTTCAGCTGGAGAAGAGGAGACTGAGGGCAGAGCTCATGGCAGTTCCAGCTTCCTGGGGAGGGCCAGAGGAGGGGCAGGGACTGAGCTCTGCTCTGGGGGGACCAGGGACAGCAGCCAGGGAATGGCTGGAGCTGTGTCAGGGCAGGCTCAGGTTGGATCTCAGCAAAAGGTTCTTCCCCCAGAGGGTGGTTGGGCACTGACCAGGCTCCCCAGGGCAGTGGGCAAAGCCCCAAGGCTGCCAGAGCTCCAGGAGAGTTTGGATGATCCTCTGGGGCACAGGGTGTGACCCTTAGGGATGGGCCTGTGCAGGGTCAGGAGCTGGACTCAATCATCCTTGTGGGTCCCTTCCAGCTCAGCATATTCTGAGGTTCTGTGATGTTTCTTGAGTGAATTACCTCAGTGTCTGCAGTGATGGAAATGGTGCCTGTGTGTGGTTTCTGCAGGGGAATGGAGGGGATCAGACCTGGGAGCCAGTTCAAGGAACCAGAAGGAACTGCTATCTAGGCACACAGAGCACAGGATTTGGTGGCCAAACAAGAAAGTTCTTTAGAGCCACTTCCCCAACAAACGAGAGTTATGTGAGCAGCAGATAAACAGAGGCACTTACAGGGCTCTTCACAGAGGAATTGGCCACCAGCTGCCATGGCCTCAGGACCAAGTGGCCTTTAAGGAAACCCAGAACCAGTCAATAAAATAACCAGTATGATACATGTTTCATTTGAAAAGGCTCTTCCAGACAAAGGTTCTCCAGTTATACAGCTTTCAACCACCACCTGTTGACTGGTACATCAATGTGTTCCTCTCCCCATGGTGCCTATACATTGAACCAGCCTGCCTCCAGTGCTCTCCCCATAGCGACAACATAGAATCCTGAGTTGGGAGGGGAGAAGGGACCCACAAGGATCATCCAAGTTCAACCCCTGGCCCTGACAGACACACACCCTGTCCCTCAGAGCCTTGTCCAAACGCTCCTGGAGCTCTGGCAGCCTTGGGGCTGTGCCCACTGCCCTGGGGAGCCTGGTCAGTGCCCAGCCACCCTCTGGGGGAAGAACCTTTTGCTGAGATCCAACCTGAGCCTGCCCTGACACAGCTCCAGCCTTTCCTTCGAGTCCTGTCACTGCTCACAGGGAGCAGAGATCAGAACTGCCCCTCATGGGAACCTGCAGACCCAAGTGAGTCTCCCCTCAGTCTCTTCTCCAGCTGAACAAATCCAGTGACCTCAGCTGCCCCTTGCTGGCTTCCCCTCTAGTCCACCCAAGACAGCCAACAGCAAAAGCCCCCATCCCCCTGCACAGCAATAAAACCAACCTCACCTGGAAACCACCGTTCCCAGGGGACACCACCTGCAGAGCAGCTGCTGCTGCCCATCCAGAAGCCATGGGGAGAAGGGGATCCTACACAGCAAACACCCAACCTGCAGATGCTTTCACCAAGGGCTGGTGACCATGGCTGAAGAAGAAGCTCCCACTGCTTCCCATCAGTGGTCATATCTCCACCTCTCCCTCCCAGGGCACCAGAGATGCTTTTCAGGCTTGCCCATGTATTGATCAATCTCTCAAGAGCTGTAGAGGCACAAAAACTCTGCAAATACACTGAACGTTTCCTCCAAACTGTAAGATCTTTAAGTCAGAAATAGTTATGGACTTCTAGTCTTTCCCTAGACGTTCTGACCCTGCACAGACAGCAGTGACCTCCCACCCTGCTGTTCTTGGTGGCTGTCCTGGCAGGGAAAGGAGGACAGGAAGAACAGTGATGCTTCTGAGACAACCACCAGCTGAGGACACCTCCCAGGTTTCTCTCCAGCAGTGTGGACAATGATCAAGCAAAACCCAGGAGAAAATCAAACGTCAGTACCTCTTTTCTCTCCCTCTGCAAGACAAGCCAACCCCAACAACAACTCTAATTAGCTTCTTTCTGAGTCCCTCGAAGGAAACATGGTCTAACTGCTCTTCCCTCTTTATATCAGCAACTGCCTTTGGATCTCAGAGACGCTGCAGGGAGCTGCTCCAGGTCACAGCCAACAGAGGCAAGTGTAAGAGACGTGCCTTGCCAGGTTCTTGCAGGAAGCCCCTTTCCCTGGGGCGGGAGGAGAGGACAGTCTGATGTTCACAGAAAAAAAGAAAAAGCTTCTTCATCACAGCTGGAGGTGGGGTGGGGACAGGAAGCACTGTTTTGGAAGGGGCACACCACAGCCAGCCCAAAGCCAAAATTATTCCCATAATGTGACTAGTGATCAGAAAAACAAACAAACAGCAACCTGTAAAACCTTCTTTAGAGCTAAATCTAAGTATTTACACAAAGCACCCACATTCTGCAAGATGCCTTTCCTGAAAACATTTCAGGAGTTTCTCAGGCTTTCCTCCCATTTGCTTCACCTCTGTCAAACACAGCACCAGCCCTGGGCCCAGCATGGGCCAGGTGACTGATGGGCGAATCACTGAACAAGCCAAAAGAAGATAATCAGCTTTTTCTTTCTGACCTTGGCTGAGCCTTTTGGGGCGACCAGATGTGAACACACAGCAGAAGTTACAGGAGATCAGTAATCCTGAGCCAGGACCCTGAGATGGATGTGCACCTTGGCTCTGGGCCCTCCAGCAGAGCCAAGTGTCCAGGGACAGCTCTCCAGAGCTCTCCCGTCCCCACACACAGCCAGGGAATGGGAGGTTCCTGATCCTGTGTCTTACCGAGCGTCTGCTGGTTGCGGACCCCACCTATGACCACGCAGATCTCCGCGGGCACATCTCCCGGCCCATCTTTGATGTTGTTCTTGGAATCTTTGGTGTCGTCCTGCCAGATCACCTCTTCAATGTAGTCATCTGGTACCTCTGTTTTCACTTTCACCTCAGTCATCATTCCAGCCTCTTCACTGGGTGAGGACTGAGATGTCATCGAGTCGGAGCCCTCTGCTTTCGGGCTCTGTGGGCTCCTCTTCAAACACTCCCTGAATGGGGGAAAAGAGGAGACAACATGAATCCTCATTGTCAAGTGCTCACTTTCTCGTACCAGGACCTAATGCAAGGTACTTTGGTTTATACAGGTTATTTAAAGTTAGCACGGGTAGGTATGTGTGTCTGTCACACACGGGAAGTAATTAAAATGTAACCAGATAAAAACAACAAGACCATTTGCTAATAATGAAAATAACCTCAATCATCACAAGCAACAGCAGCAGGAGCTAAACAAGAGCACAGAACTTCACGTGGTTGCCAGCAGACCAAGAGCACAGCTCCAGCAGTTCTGACAGCAGGTACTGCACCAAGACTAATCCACACATGCAAAAGCAAAGCCCTGCTCTTCTATGGCACTGGGGACGTGGGTCAGTGGGGGACTTGGCAGTGCTGGTTTAATGGTTCGACTGGATGACCTTAAAGGTCTTTTCCATCCCCTAAATGAGTCTCTGATTCTCTGGCATTTTTAATTTGGAGCACTTCTGCACTTCTCCATCACATCCTCTCTTTTATCCCTTCAAGCAGCCTGACATCCTGTGGTATTCCCATGGCTTTATTTAACATATATGGTGCTGATCAAAGGGGATCATCTATAGTATGAGGATATTTAGGGAGACTATGCCATTATGGACAGATACAACTATCAGTGATGACAGAAAGTGTGATAGATGGGGAGAGGCAGAGGAGATCCACAGTGTGCAAAAACAGATAAGGGAAATAACATGTGTTTTCATCTTGGAAAGAGAAAGCTGAAAATTCATGGGAGAAATTAAACTATAAAAACATTCAAAACCCCTTAGAAAAGGAAACTGGGCACCTCAAAGCTGCAAAACAACTTCAACAAGTGCCATGGTGGCAAAAGGCAAAGGGGGTTTGAGCACAAGAGACAAAGGCCTGGTAATAAGCCAGTGGAGCTCCTTTCCCAAATGCACCATGCCAATACTCCTTAGGGAGTTCTGGTTTTTAATATTGGTTATTAATAAACTCCAACATGCAATACAAAGATAAAATAATTGCTGCTTCAGTTTGTAGAGCTACCAGAAGAACTAAATATATAATGGCTTAGACTACCCAGAAACAGAAAAGACTGTAACATATTTAGAGTCATGTAAACACTGGGAACAGCCAAAGGTGTTTGAAAATGGTTTAGGCAGAAGTAACAGGCAAAATAAAGTGAAAAATAGGCTGAACTTATGGATGATTGTTAGATCATGCAACAGTGACAGAGAAGGAAATCCCATTGCTTGGACCATTGTAAAGTCAGAATAAAGTATGAATTAAAATGTCAGAAAACCAACACCTGCAATGGGTTCTGACACTGGTTATAGAGCTGACAGAGAAAGCAAGACACTGCATCTGGAGGTGAAAGAGCCCAGTGAGTAATCCTGGGAGGACAGGGATGAGGGAGCAGAGGAACCAAGAGTAATTACTGCCCAGTCTCCAATACAGACATGGAGTTGCTATTTCAAAACGGGTCAGTCCCATCCCATCACCAGATATTTTATTATTCATCCCTTCAATCTCATTATGGAAAGAAATGTACAATTAATAGCCCCTAAACAGAGAGAATTAGCCTTGACCTGCCTTCCCACTCATTTCCTGCCTCCTCACACATACTCCCCCCGCTCCCAAAATCATACAGGGCTTTTACAAGGGAGAGATAAATTAAGACAGAGAAAATGTGGTTGAAAACTGGACTATCTTTGTGGAAATATTATGGGATGTCCCAAAGGCCCATCAATGTCACCCTACATGGAGTGGCTCAGCACTTGTCCCAAGGGGAAGGCAGTAAGTACAAAACACTCAGGGATCAGAAAAGGGTGGGATTAATTGCAAATCAATCAAATCAAGGAGGTGTGAAATGCAAAACACTGATAAAAGCAGCAATAGGGTGGATAGGAAAAACTCTCTGATGAGGACTGTGGAGGAAAAATAAAGTCAACCAGTACAAACCCCACTGGGAGGCTGGAAGGTGGGAGCAGTCAGTGAGAGGCAGCTCTGCTCTGAAGTGAAGGAAAAACACCTTGGTTGTTGATGGTACAGCAACGTGTACATGCCAATCCTGGACAAAACCACATGGAAATCCATGCGGGAGCCAAGGGACATGGAATTAAAAACTAACACAAGTAGCAGTGAAGCAGAGGCTGCAGCTTTCTGCGATTATATGTGGGGTAAGAATATAAAGACTTTCTGATGGTGCCCAGCTTTGCATCCACGCCAGTGGACTCCTCTCTCTGTAGCTGGCTCTGCCCCAGATAAGAGGTGTAGAGCATCAAACAAGTGCAGGAACATGGGTGCACCCACAAAGAGCCCCCACGGTGCTCAGCTGTGATGCCAGGGGCAGCTCCTCCTGCAGCCACACAGCCCTGAAGGACTAACCCAATGTGCACCTAGGACTGAACAAGGAGGGGATTTTCTCCCTGTAGGAAGCCGTGTGGTGAAGCCAGTCCCCAGTGCTGCAGACAGACCCAGCACCCTCCCCTGTTTCACCCACCGTGTTTCAAAGGTGATCAGAAAAGCTGGAGATGGTTCAAAAAAGCAGCACTGAAATGGTTCAAGTCTGGGAAAAGATACTTTACGACTTTGTGAGACCAAACCGCTTCAATCCATTTCTCATGCCAAAAGGGAGACTGAGAGATGATTTGATTGCAGCATATTATCAATCTTCGTGGGGAGAAAATACTGTCTTTCCTTAATTTAGCAGGGAGGAGTAGACTACGAGCTCATGCTGGAAGCTGGAACCACTTGAAATGAGGCATAAAATATTAGCACGGATGGTGATCCACTGGAACAACTGCTTTCCAAAGGATGTGCTCAGGGACAACAAATCTCCCCAAGTTCTCAAACCCAGAGATGTGTATCTGGCTGGCCCCAGGTTACTGGGCTCAGTACAGATGTGCACTGGCCACACTTGGTGGCCTGAAGCTGCAGGAATACATAAATTATTAGACCAGGCCAATGGACTCTCAAAACCTTTGCCTTTCACACCTTCACACTTTCTGGATCCATCTCTGCCAAGGAAGTGATTTCCCAGCTGGGCTGTCTGCCCTTGGGTGGGACCCAAACCTCAAACAGGAACTGAAAGCAATTCAATGCCCCATATGTTCTAACCCCGAGCAGGTATCTGATGTGCAGAAGGAAACCAGTCCCAAATGCACCAAGTCTTCTGCATGATTTCATGATTCACAAGCCCTGCTGATCCCGTGAAATTAAAACGGTAAAAAAAATAGCACCACTGGATTTCTACACCAATTTTACAACAAACAGAGTCCCTCTCTGTCTTCTGACACTTTCTAGGAGGGATGAAGGCAGCAGATGTACCCGGGTCACAGCTGGGTGTAGCTGTACCTCTGCTGTGGACGGGAGGTGAACCCCCATCCCCGCGGAGCCGCCGGCACCGCGCACGGCCGGGCACTGCCAGGGCCCACCGAGATCTGCACAGAGCCACGGCAGCTCAGACCCCAGGGGAAGAGCTCTAAGGTGCTGAAAAGGGAATAAATTACAACCAGTAAGATTTTTTGTCCCGATTACTTGTACCTATAAAAATACACAGGCGTCAGTCAATACATGGACATGTGTGTGCACATCTAAGAAGGGCTGGCAGTTGTGTCTCTGGCACGTCCCCTGGTCCCACCCAGCTCCTGCCTCTTCTCCCACACAGCCCCAGGATGTGCATCCTCTGCTGACACCCCGAGGTGCTGGTGTTTTATTGCATGGGCCAGGTCCTGCTTCACAGCCCTGAGGGCTCTGGGAGCCAAACTGCAGGAACACACCCCCAAATGCAAACTTTGCTGCTGACCAGCACCAGGCTGGCACCAGTCCACCAGCACAGCCTGTGCTCCCTTTTCGTGACTGTTGCTGTTTCCTTTCACAAGGCAGATCTGTGTTCTCACATTGCTCTTATTATTTCATATCTCACAGAGATTTTCTAGCCACTGGCTGATGTCAAGCTTCAGCCAAACTTCAGCTGTAGACTTTCTCCAGCTAAATGTCCAGAGGAACATTATGGCTTTGCAGAATACCTTAAAATAAATGTAATCAAACAGCAGCACAGTCCTAAGTCCTCCTTCCTCCTCCTCTGGAAGTGCTACGCAGGGGACAGAAGAGCCAGAAGGCTCTGATTGTTTCAAGTGATGCACAAGAGGGGCATCACCAGCTGCTGACAACAGCAGGAGAAGGTGATGGATCCTCCTACCTTCCGTGCATGTGGAGAACATCTCCCTCACCTCGATCCTTACAGCCTCCAAAGGACTGGTGGGCAGACCAGGCAGGAGAACTTGTCTGAACACTACAAATGAGCCCCTGACAGACAATGGGATCGACTCTCCCAGGGCTCTGCCAGCACTGACACAGCCAAGGGTCTCACAGCACAGTGATCACCCAGTGACAGATCAGCCTCTCATTCCTCTTGGACACTGACACCAAAAAGCTCCCCAAGCATGAAGGTGGGCCCCTTTCCAGGCCAGGTGACACAGCGGGTCAGAGAGCTGCTGTGCAGATGGCAGGACCCAATGGAGCAGCTCTTACACTCCTGGGAGAAGGTCTGAGCTCTCCAAAAGATACTCAGTACCCCTGCTGGGGCTGCACAGCTTTGCAGAGGAGAAGGAGACAGTGATGGGGGAGGACAACTCTCTCAGCAGGAACGAGCATCACTTTCCTGGGGTCTCAGGTGAAATCCAGGCAGTGCCCCTGTGGCTGGAGCAGAACCAGGGTCAGTCCAGGCTTCTGGAGCTCAGTTGCTGAATGGGGTATAATTGTCCCCAGGGAGCAGGGGCAGCTGGGCTGAGGGAACAATCCTCATGGGACAGCAGAGTTTGAAACCTCCTGGGTTGGCTGGGGAAAGAGTACCAACATCCTCAGGCTAAATGGGAAAGAAAAGGAAATGAGTGACACTGGAAAATTCAGGCAGGATGGAGAGGGGTACACACACAGCCACAGCAGAGCCAGGGTCACCCCAGCCTCCACCACGCATGGCACATACGTGCTGACCCAC